TGGTTTCTGTTTGGTTATGTTGGTTTCACGGTGGGGAAGGCGACGGGGGTGGACACAGGTGGTTTCGGGGTATGGGTTTTCTAGTTTTCAAAAGGAGGAAGAAGGTGACGGGGAAGGTGATGGACTGGTTGCGACGAGCGGTGGTCGACGAGCCTGTTTGGTTGTTCGACGGAGGTGGCGAGACGGAGAGGGACTGGTTGGTTTTTCAGTTTTTTTTGCCGAGGAAGATGAAAGTTTCTTCTGTTTCTTCTTTCAAAAGAGAAAGAAGAACGATGCACAGTAGTCCCTCTCCCATTTCCAAAAAGTCCCTTTGTTGGTCCCCCTTGTCCGTGTTTTGTAATGCTTTGCCAAGAAAAATGAGCCCCACGCGTGGTGGGGTTCAAGGTTTATGTCCCCCACGCGTGGTGGAGTTCCCCATGTGTCCTGGACACGGTTTATTATGGGTCAGGTCCGAAATTAGGCCTAAAACCGGGTAGTTTGAACCCGAATATTATTCTTTTGCCCGGACCCAAGAAATAAAAACACGTTGCTTAACTAGTCCTATGTAAGGAAAATAGCTACTAAAATAAATTATTTAAAACAAAACTATATTATTATTTTCTTAATATTTTTCAAGATTTAAAATAGCTACAAAATATTAATAAAACTATTTTTTTGTAATTTTCGAAATTATATAAAGTACAAAAATAAAGTGCAATTTTTTATTTTTTCCCCGTTTATGAGAAATGCATAAACTAAAATTTATATATGTATTTTTTGTGATTTTTCTTTTCGCAACGAAATAAAGTAAAAATAGTTAAAATGGCTATATTAGACCCAATTTCACATATTCATGCAAAAAATGTGAAAATTCTCAGGGAGGGTCAAAAATCACGTGCTTACAGGGATTAAACCAAAAAAAAACTCAATCAGTAGGCTACTGAACCACTGCAGTAATGAGAATCACTGTCCAGAATTCAACTTACACCTATGAATGCAATGAAACCCTATATTTTTTCTGGTTTTCTGTCCTTAAACTCCCCAGAATTCTAAAAAAAAAAACTGAATGTCTTAGCTTTTAAAATGCTGTCTGAGACTGCTTCTTCAAAGAACTCTCAAAACTCCCTCTTTTCAGATTGCTTTTTCTCTTCTAAAGTCTGCCCAAGAGAAAAGCCAGACCAGACTAAAAGGTTCCCCTTTAATTCTGTCCAGACCCTTATTTATACCCAAACCTCAGCCCCTTTCCAGCTCTAAGGAGCACTTAGCTAATTAGGAAAGTATTTGTACCCATGATATTCCCTGACAGCCACTACTACCTGTTTTTCTCTTTTTTAATCCAAGGTTATGGGTGACTTAACTTATTTAATCCACTTCTCATGCGATTAAACCTTGTTCCCCACTAATTACTAAACAATTCATTAGTTTATTGGTACTTTAATACTCTACTATTAGAATATTAAACTTAAACCAATTTCCAACCTTTCAATCCCAAAATACCCTCCTAAAGTCCCTGAAATTACTGAAATTACCATTCTACCCCATCAGCTATATCCAATCCTCCTAATCAATTGACTAATCAAATCATATGAGACTAACTCCCGATTGACAACACTTAGGAATCAGTTCATCATGGTCAGATTCATATCAACATTCAAGATCAGATTCATATCAGAACAACATTAAGATTCATCAAACTCAAATCACAATTTAAGCTTGAAACTCAATTCAGACCAAATATCATCAAAAATAAAGATTCAATGATTAAACTAACACACTTCTAGCTTAAACCTAAACAAGAACAAATGAACACTGTCAACATACTGAATGAAAACAAACTGACTTATATGAAAAAAAAACATGGTGAATAACAATGAGAAAGGGAAATTGGAACACTTTGAAACAAATGATACCAACAGGCTTATTTCCACACAAAATTAGAACAGAAAATAAACAGGAGGGTAAACCTACTGGAATGAACCAAAAATTAAACTATTATTATGCTAATCTAACATTCAAGCATACCAGACTAATCGACGACACTTATTCAATCGATTACACAAATTATAACATATAACAATCGACAACAAACAGAAGCAATAATAAAATTGGACCAAAATAAAAGGTCTGATTGGAGAAAGAAAAGAGTAATCGATAAAAAAATGAATTTGAACTCATCTTAAACAAACAAACAACAAAACATGAAAACAAACAGGGAAACAGAAGAAATACCTTTGAACTCAGAAATTGGACGACCCTGACTTGGACTCTGACTCTGATCTTTTATTGAGGTCGAACGGACCTTAATCGAGTGTTCTCAACTGAGAACACTTCGACTAAGGTCCACTGGACACCCAACTTCCTTTAATTTGGACAGATTTCAGCTTTTGGTTTTCTAGGGTTCTTGGGGGTTCGATATGGGGTTCGAACGGTTCTGGTCTAATTCGAACCAAACCAATGGTGGTTTGGTGATGGGGGAGGTCAGGGAGATGTCCGGTAGGAGTTTGGGACTGGTTGGGGTAGGTTTAGGTTCTGCTCGAATCTTCGATTGAAGATTCGAGAAGCTGGGGGTTGATTCGAGGTAAACGGTTAGCGGATCTGTAACGAGGGTGGTCAGAGGGTTCAGGGATGTTATTTGGGTGGCCGGAGGCGTCGTTGTCGCCGGGTCTTAGGCGAAAGTGTGGGGTGGCGGCTCTAGGGTTTCGAGGGGTCGGCTCTGAGAGAGATGACTGAACAGGGAGGGGCGTTTGGAAATGAGAGAGGGGTAATGGGTCTGGGTATTTTGGTACATTAGATTGAAGGGATTGATGTGATCCGTTGGATCAATGAAGATTGACGGCTAGGATCAAGGGGATTAACCAATACGGCGTCGTTTGGTTTAAGTAGGGGGTCGATTTGAACCGGGTAATGGGTCGGGCCAGGGAATGGGTAAGGGAGACGACTTTTGAGTCGTTGGATCATGCAGGACCAACGGCTGTGATTGATTGCCATTGAAACGACGTCGTTCGAACATCTGTGAGATTTGGACCGGTCTGGGCATCTGTTTGGGCCTGATTTTGGTCAAAATAAAACGGCCCAGTTCCGATTTTGCCCAATTTTCACTCTTTTCTTTTTTCCTTTCATTTTCTTTTAATTCCTAAAAACCAAAATTCCTATATTAAATTGTAAAACCAAGATTATTTTAAAAAGATATTAATTAACCCTTAACAATAATTAACACACAAGATCAAATATTGATTAAAATATAATCACACAATTAAACAATAAAAATGACAAAGCTACCAAAAATTCATATTTTTGTGATTTTCATTCTTTAAAATAGGACATGGTTTAATTTATTCAAAAAATGCATAATTAAATCCTAAATATGCACGCAACAGGTATTTTGGTATTTTTCAATTAATTAAAACAAGGTAAACATTCACAGACAAAAATAATTATCCAAAATGTCACGCAAAATTCTCAAAATTGTACCCAAAGGCAATTTATTTTATTTTCGATTTCTTTTGGAGTAGTTTTCGTGAAGCAAAAAACACGTTCTCATAAATGGGTATATAAAATTAAACATAAGGCCGATGAGAGTATAGAAAGATTTAAGGCAAGATTAGTCATTAGAGAGGACACTCAATAAGAAGGAATTGACTACACAAAAACTTTTTCTCCTATTGTTAAAATGACCACAATCAGATCAATCATTGTTGTAGCTGTTAAGAAGGGTTGGAATATGTTTCAATTAGATATCAACAATGGCTTTTTGCATGGGGATTTAGATGAAGAGGTGTACATGAAAATTCCTCAAGGTATGATGGTTTCTGGGAGCAATATGGTGTGCAAATTAAAAAAAATTATATGGTTTAAAACAAGCCTCTAGACAATGGTATTCCAAGTTGAGTGAATCTCTTATTTCCGTGGGTTATTCAGTCTCTAAAAATGATTACTCCCTTTTCATTAAGTCTGGTCATGGTCTTATTACTATTGTCGCTGTTTATGTTGATGACATTTTGTTGAGTGAGAATTTTGAAAAAGAAATGTCTTCCCTCAAACTTCTTCTGGACCATCAGTTTAAAATAAAAGATTTGGGGCTTATTCACTATTTTCTTGGGTTGGAAGTGTTATCAGAACCTGGAGGGGTGATCGTTTGTCAAAGGAAGTTTGCTCTTGATCTCTTAACTGAGTTCAACTACTTGGATAGCACTCCTGTAGCTAGTCCGATGGATGTTACTATGAAATTCAAAGCCAATTCTGAGGAACTCTTGCCTGATCCTACACTTTACAGAAAGTTGGTTGGGAAACTGAATTTTCTCACTAATACTAGACCCGACCTTGCTTTTTCTGTTCAATTCTTAAGCCAATTTATGCATACTCCTTCTTCTTCTCATCTCACTGCTGCCTTTCATGTGCTTAAATATGTCAAAGGGACTTTGGGTCAAGGTTTGCTTATGTCTAATGATCCTGATCTTTCTCTTCAAGCTTACTGCAATTCTGATTGTGCAACTTGTCCCCATTCTCGCAAATCTGCTAGTGGTTATTTGGTTCTACTTTGGGGGGGTCCCTTCTTACTTGGAAATCCAAGAAACAACAAACTGTTCCCCTCTCTTCTGTTGAAGCAGAATACAGGTCTATGCATAGAGTCGTTGCGGAGTTGGCATGGTTGACCAGATTGCTCAATGAGTTGTCTGTTGCTTCGATTGTTCCAGTTCCCCTTCATTGTGACAGTCAATCTGCCATCTATATAGCTCGAAATCATGTTTTTCACGAATGCACCAAGCATATTGAGCTTGGCTGTCATTTTGTGCGGGAAAAGCTTCATGAGGGTCTCATCTCTTTATCTTTTGTACCTAGCAGACTGCAGCTTGCGGACATGTTAACTAAAGCTCTTCCTGGAGTGGCTCACCGATCCATCTTGAGCAAGTTGGGTGTGGCAAACCACCCTCCAACTTGAGGGGGTGTTAGAATATTAGTTGGGCTTAGTTGGGCTTTGGTTGTATTTGGGCTTCGTTATTTATATTGGGTTGTAGTTGGCCTTGTATCATTTTTTCTTTCTCAACTTATTCTTTGTAAATGGATCTTACATAACTAATAGAAGGTTCCAGAGAGTGAACTGATCAATTCTGCTGATCCAATTTTTCTCTCTCTAATGTGGGACGATCTTCTTCTCTTTCTCATTGTTTCCACATTCGAATCTCATTGGGTTCTAACAGGTTGGGAAAAAAGCTAAGAATGAAGAATAAAGTTGGCATTTCAAAAATCTTGAAGTCAAGTTGTCTAAAGCAAGTTTCCAATTAACAAATACTAGCAAACATACAGAAGAAAAATTATACAAATATAGCATAAAATATTATAAATCCTGTCACGCTCAAATCTTGAAGTAGGATTTGGTCTGGCAAGAGAGAAAAATCTACTCATACAGTTCATACTACACTGAAATTCCAAAGCTTAGAAGGACGAGAGGAGTTCCCAACAACCCTTATTATTAATTAAGTATTCCTCCATAATATTCTTTCAGTTATATAAAATAATCTCGGATCTACCTAAAAATAAGACACAATCATCATAGAATATCTTGAAAAGAAGCTATCCATTTAATAATCTATCATATGAAGACAAGGTACAATAGTACCAGCAATTGCTAGTGAAAGCTTAGTGTTCAGAGAGTTCAGATTTAACCACAGATCCAACTGTGAAGCATCAATGTCTGATTCTATATCTGTCACTCTCACTTTCCTTAACCCAACCAACATAACTCATATCAAAACATGTCAGTTATTTCATTTGTATAATTGAATATGAAATTTTATCACATACCAAACTTACCCTAGATGTGTAGTTAGCTATTAAACATGTCATGACATCTATAGTTATAGAAATATTTCATTAAGTGTCGGAGGCAGATGTAGTGTGCTAGTTATGGATTCAATTGAATCCATAACTTTCGATACAAAGTAAAAATTTATATGTAAAAATTCATTAAAATTATAAAAATAGTAGATACAACCCATAATTTTAAAAATATAATAAGTTCAATGCTAAAAATTATAAAAATTGAACCATAGAGTTTAAATCCTGGATGCGCTTCTATAAATAAGTGTAATATGAAAAGTTTCTAAGTTAATAAATTTTTAGATATATAGAGAGATTATTTTTTGGAACACACTCAAATTAAAGAATAGTACCATATAAAATGAAAAAAGGTATTTCGAAATAAAGAACAAATTTTAAGTTTCATTAATTTGTCAACCAATATTAGACAAACAAGCCTAACAGATACAGCCCATAAACAAACAAAAAAAAAACACATAGAGATTAATAACTCAGTTGAATCAAAACTCTTGATACAAAACCCTTAAGACATTTAAATTAAGATTAAAACTATCTGATCCAAGAAAGAAATTCTATTTTTTTCCTCCTTTGCAAAGATTGAGCTTCTTCTAACAACTACATGAGTGGACTATTGAGAAGTCCATGCCAAGAAGAACCTCCAAATCCAGTATTCCAATTTTGCCCTCTGTTTGAAGCTTCAAAATCAGCCATATTGTTCACTTCTCCATTAATTTGCCATGGAAATCCCCACAAAATTCTATTATTCTCACCTTCTCTTGCTATATTGCACATCTCTTGTTTCACAATTTTGCCTCCACTCATTTCTTGATCATAATTCATTCTCATTTCTTCATTCGCATTATTCATTCCCATTCCTCCATTTTGTACCTGCCCCATATTATTCTCATAGTACAAATTTTGGTACTGAAATCCATTTGGGGTTTCAAGAAATCCACCCCTTAGTGTATCAAGAAAGCTAGTAGAGGCAATATTATTCCCATGATTATTATACATCATTGACATATTATCATTTTCTTCAATTCCCAAATTCCCATTTGCTTGTTTTTGAAGTCTAGCAAATGCTAGACTTAAATCACTTGAAGAATCATAAGAAGTTGGTGTGATAGAAGATATTGGATTATTAGGGCTATTAGTCAAAGACTGATCTTGGCTTCTTTTTGAGGATATTCTTTTGTTTTTTCTACAGCCACCACCAACTGGAACATTTCGTAGTGTACCACCTTTGGTCCAATACCTTCTACATGATTTGCAAAAGTATCTAGGTTGAGTGAGACTGTAGTTGTTGTAGTAGCAAAATTTTGTGTTGGTTGAGTCACATCTTGGACATTTTTGTGCTTGTTCTGCACCTGGCCTTGGTTTCTTTTCTTGATCTTGCTTTGTGCATACCAACATGCTTTCTAGTGTTTGAGATGACATTTCCTGTAAAATCACAAATTAAAAAGAGAGATTAGAGTTTAATTAAACTTACTTACATTGTTGATCGCAAGCTTATAAATATAAGGAGGATTGCATTAGGTTAACAAATTATCGTAAAACTAATTAATTTGCGATGAACCCTTACAACACATAACATATACGAACTCCTAATCACTAGTAAACAAAATTTGAAATACCTAGCTAAAAGATGTTCGTACGGATATTTGAACTACAAAGAAATTAAATTTACATGTTTTCAAGGATTTATGGATACCTGCTTTTACATTAAAAATATCACTTTAACTCGAAAATTGTACATTGCTTTAATTTTCTGAAACATGCATGCTCTCTCTAACAGAAAACTAGTAAAACTGAAAATAATTGAAAACTTGTTCATTTGATCTTTCTATTCTTTCCCTTCATGAATTGCAAAGTAGAGCACAAAGTTTTGAGTTTTCTTCCTTTTCACAATTATTGTGGAAATGAAATCTTCATTTTCAGAAAACCTTTCTTGTTTCTCCTTGAAGCTATGAGGAAATTACTTGAAATAAAATGTAGTACTAGTTTACACTAGATATTTTTCCAAATTCTGAAGCGTTTAGAAAAAACATTTAGAACTAACCCTTTGATATAACTCCAAACTAACTAAATTCATAGAAATTGAGAACTTAAAAACTAAAATTAAAGCAAAAAGAGTAGTAGAGATCAAGTGAATTAAAAGAATTGGTGCTCTAATCTTGAGAAAAGCTAGTATTTTTGCTGTAGGATTTAACTACAAATTTTACTCCATATATTGGTATACATATCTGATTTTAGCTTTGCCCACAATTTCCCATATTCTTCTAAAAAAGACAAGAACAAAGTGAAAAAATATAGAAAGAAACAAAGAACATACATACAAAATCATACACACAAGAGAGATAAAGGATAGTACATCCTGTACTAAGCTACGTTATATGCGAGGTCCCAGAAAGAATTGAGCCACAAAAATCTAACGTACGCAGTCTTACCTTACACGACAGAGAGGCATGAACAAATAAAAAGGAAGAAAAAAGCAAATAATAGAAGGTCCTAGTAAAATAAGCAAAACAAAGAATGAAAGAAAGAAACCATCATTTTGTTTACTTAAGGTAACACTAATTTGTTTAACCAAAAAAAGGTAACACTACTATACATCTCTCTCTATAATATTTACCTGGTGGTGATGGTGAGCATTAGAAGGATCCATTCATACACATTAATCAGCTCTACCTCTCTAATATCAAAAGAACTTACAACTCAAAATCTCCAAGTTGGTTTTTTCTTGAAAGAAATAGACAATTGATTGATCTATGAAACTTCAAGAAAACCAGAAGGGGTTGATTTGTATACAGAGAAAAGAGGAGGACTAATGCAAAAGTAAAGAAAAACTTGTAGCCGTCTCTCTCAATCTCTCTGTGTATATATAAGGAGAAAAAAGTGAAGGAGAGAGAGATATTGAGNCCAGAGAGAATGGAAATTTCTAGTGAGAGTTTTTACATTTTTCATTTTGTTTTCTTCATTGCATGCATACGCAATTTAAGAACAAAGGTTTCTTTTTCTTTAAGTATTTGATTTGCAAAATTTACTATAGCTCCATTCATCTACATTTATGTTGAATAAATTGTATGACAAAGCATATTTCCTACAAAAAGATCAGCCATTCCCAGAGTACAATCTCAAAATCTTAATTAAGAGTATAAAAATCTTAACCATCTAAGAAAATCACGGGTAAACAAGCTTTTATTTTTCAGCTGAAATCTGGTATCTGGGGGCAGATTTACTGTTAAAATAATGGTGCACATGAACCCATGATCTTTCCACCTAGTGGCATACGCAGAATTATTCATAAACGGTGTCACATTTAAAAACTAAAACGAATATTGAATTATAAAGCTACTAATTATAGATAGCAAATAATTAAAGAAATTTCACCACAAACATAAATATTCTATCTTTTAATTCTTCATCTATGTTGAAGGAAATAAAAAAGAACAATACAATTTTTCTGTAGAAATAGAATTACGTAGTCCTTTACAAAGTTTAGGATTAGTAAATCTATAGAAATAGAAATATAGAAATATTTATCACTTAGAATGTTATGAGAGCTTCGTCCATGCTATTTCCAAACAATGGGGCTAAAAAAGGCTAAAAAGTTTAAGGAATTAATGTTGCTTTTGAGGTTTGATCCCCGACCTTTACAAAAGAAAGACATGCTTAACCAATGGACCACAAAATGTGAATTGTCAAGTGTTGTCATTGGAAACAAATATATATGTTGTTAAGTATTCTTTGTATGTATATAGTATGTGTTTCCGACGAAGCGGTGTCACGTGACACTGCTTGGGAATACGTGCATCCGCCCCTGTTTCCACCAATAGATATTTTATATATGTACATATTTTCTAGAATTAATTCAATATTATCTGTTGGCTCCCATATTTCAGGAACCATAAATGATGTATTCGATTAAATACTAAGTTATTTACTCAAAGGAATATTTATCCGTAATTTCAACTACGTATATGGGACCCACTCGAGTGTGAAATGCAACTATATATGTGGGGCCAATCTTGCCTGGAGCTGCCCAATTCTTTGGTCCCCGCTTACGCACTACATTAGATATTAGATCCCTTCCATACGCCAATTACTCGGTTTATGATCTTCTTCTTGGGATTATTTAATGAGAATATTTCGGTAATGTTTAAAGGGACAAAAGGAAAGAATTTTCTAAAAGAAGAGGGAAATGATGTTTCTATGTTATCGATGTATATCTCATCTTTTGTCCTGTTTTGAAAGATCTCTTTGTCTTGCTCATGTCATTTCTGTTACGCTAAGAATATCTTCTTCTTTTTTTAATTAAAAAAATCCATTTGCATATATATGTGTGTGTGTTAATTTTTTTTTTTTTTTTTTTTTTTTTTTGCTTTACTATATGGAAAGTGACGAAATAGGGGGAAAAACAGTGAGTTTATAGTTCAAACTAAAGTTTTTCGGTATTGCCCAAACAGGTACAACAATTACATTTATGAACTGAAAGTACATAAATGTTATTTTATTGTGTTTCATCAAATAATGTGATGATAAAGTTTCAAAAGCCCTAACGCGCGATCAAGATTCTTTTTCTCGTCAAAAAGTCCTCACAAGAAAATGATGTTGAATTTTTTTCTCAGAAAGATGGAACATCGTTTTGGCTCTAAATAATTGATCTATCCTCACCCTCTCGGTCTCTCCTAACCCATCCAAAAGATAAAAGAATGAAGAGCCCAGAACTTTTTTAGGGTATGGTTAATTAAAATAAATGGAAAAGGTAAAGAGAATATATGTTAGCATTCGTCGATCTATTTTTGACTTGAACAATATATATAAAAATGTTGCGATATATTATATATTATACTCTCACCGTCTAAGGAAAATAAAAATATTAGTACTATTTAGGGAGTCAAATGAGAGTTTATTCATAAATAGTTTTTAAATATTTTAAATTATTAACTATTGCGATTTATAGTAATTTTTATGTAGTTTCCAAATATGTAAATTATTTTTCAAAAAACTTAAAGAATTCATATTCGAATTTATATCAAAAATTAGTCAATTCCAACCTCGTACTCCGAAAAGGTTAAAAAGAGTTGAAACAGAGGAATTATAGATCTATTACAAGGATTGTAATGGTAATTTGCGAAATTTGCACCCAATGGTTTAAAAAGGAGGAAAAGATCCTAATTTGCCCTTGTACTAACCAAGATTGCTGAATTTTGCCTTCATTAAAACTTTGATCTATTCATAGTTTTGTCTCGTAAATGAAGCTCAAACTAAATGGATGGATCCACGTGTCTTATTTTTCGAGAGAGAAAAATCAAATTGTATCCCTAAATTTTGACCAAGGTTTAAAATTACCCTTAGCTCGGAGCTTTGGTAGCAGTCAAAGGTAAAAACGACTACTTTTCCTGGAAGACGGCGGTAATATTAGATAAAAGTTTAATGGAGGAGAAAAGTTACTCAATTTTCAATAATACCGGAACAAATCGGATCCTTTTCCCTAAATAGAATTTTCAATCGTATTTGTATGGATGGGTTTCACTTCAAGACTAAAGACATAAACAAGATAAATAATTTAGAAAAAGAAGAGATTGTTGGCCGCATAATGGGGTCCATAAAAAACAAGAATATTGTTAATAGTGGCTGCCTATTTGAAGTTGGTAATATTGAAATGGACAAATGATCACAAGTCACAGGTGTCTCCGCACCTTCTTGTTTTGCCAATTTATTTTAGGGTTGAACATGTTAACTAGTAATTAATTCTCGTCTATCATTTTTTGTGAGTGAAAAGAAAAAAAAAATATAGGAGAGGGATAGAATCACTAAAAGTTCACTGCCAACTATCTTGGATCTTGGACAGATAGCGGGAATCAAACTCGTATCTTCTCCTCAGGCCGGACGAAGATTGGCCCTCGAGTGCAAAGGGCAAAAGGGAGCTTGACTGCAAGAGTCATCCGTCGAGCAGGGACGAAATCACCTTTGGGTTTTATGACTATGTCACCTACTACATGGTAAATAGGAAAAAATTACTCTCAAATCCATGCATCAAATTATATTGTACTCCCTCCGTTTCATATTAAATGAGGCATTTTTTTTTAGTTTGTTCCAAAACAAATGATACATTTTTAAATTTGAAAATAATTCAACTTTAAACTCTTTCATTTTACACATTTACCCTTAATAAGAAGCTTTTATAGTCACACAAATATCATGGCCCCACAAACTTTTTACCCCTTAAACTTTTAAGACCACAAGTTTCAAAAGTCTTCTTCTTTTTTCATATGAAACGGAGGGATTAACTATTATGATTAAGTGATAAAGCGAGTGCGAACACATATCAATTCCATTAAGTGGCAGAGTCGCCTTATGCTAAGGGGTGTTTATTGATATCGTTTCGCCGGAAAATTACACTGTTGTGGACAGGTGAAATTTTGTTTTATGTATATATAACTGTTGACTCCCCATTTTTTATGTGTTTAAATTTTATATATCTATAACCCTTAGTAAAATTCCTAGCTTTGTCAGCATTAATTGTTTTATAACTATTACCACATGCGTGATTTGATCTTAAACCTTGATATTTTTATAACAGAGAAAACAAGGATGCACGTATGGCTTTATTATTTTTCATCAACTTAGCAGAAAAAAGAAAAGAGAGGAAGTATTACACTAGTGCATAAACACTAACATTATCTTTGCACCAACCAAAAAGAGAGATATGTTGCAATTTGAAATGATTATAGTACTCCACACGGCCACCTATAGGTTAAGTTAAAATATCGAGCCGTGATTAAGTAATAAATAATTTATATGCATAACAATTGTTATGCATTCATTTACTCGATATAAACAACGGATGCAAATAAATGTTTTTCATGAAACATGCTCAGCAACCCTGAGATGTATCGTGCATAGAGATTGGTGTCATATATCATGATAAATGTTTTCATTATAATGTTGTCATTATAACACTACATAATTCATGTCACAATTATTATTCTTTATTTTATTATGTTCCCCCTCATTGTTTACAAACAAAGTTTACTCTCAATTTACTGCCACGTTGCCTTGTACAATTGTTAAAATCACAAACTACGCTATAGCTGCTGCATAGGTGTGGGCAAGTTTGTGCTTGAAGAAAACGAAATGACACAAATATAGTACTCATCATACTCATATCAAAACAACCTTGGCGAATCCGAGAAGAACAAATATACTGCTCTACCTAAATTCAATATTGTGCTTCCTTATCCTTGGACATGTGTTCTTCTTCTTCTTCTGTGTTAATCACTGCTTCCCCATCATACCTTGTAATGGACAATCGGGACATTTCTTTTTCTGCAAGCTTGCTTGTCTTTCATTTATATTTAAGTAAAAAAATTGTCAATAATATTTGAGATCGGAAATAGGAAATTTCGTCATACTTATGAACATGTTAACTAAATTGTATAGGAAAATGTTGGGCTAAACCAGCTAATATGACGTGATATTGCTCGCTTTAGGTCAAGTTCGTTCCGTTTTCCAAAAAAAAATTAATAACATTAAGAGATCCCTATATCTTAAATGCATGCTCGCAATCTTTCCAACTACCAGTATGAACATTATTTGCACACCCAACTAGCTTCTTCTTGTATGTGTGTCTCTAAGCTCGTAAGGAAAAGTAAATTAAGCCACACGCCATCACTCAACTATCGTCATATTCGTCCTGCTGAATCTAACTTATATCAGTTGTTGAGTTCAACCATCCCAAAGGTACTATTAATATGGTGTGATATTTTATCTGCTACGGGCCAAACTCGCATGGGTTTTCATAAGACCTCACACTATTAAGAGAACCCTACATCTTATGTGTAGACTCCCAATCTTTTTAACTATGAAT